ACTAAAGCTGAATAAAAACTAACTAAAGTGATTAAGACTACTAAAAATCCTAATAAAAACTATATTAAAAATATTATAAAAATAACACCTATCAATAAGTCCAAGCATGTATCAAGCCAAACAATAAAGCGATTGAACTGTAGTGAAATACCGACTCTCCTTTTTAAAAACACCAAAACTCACAACTATCTATCTCTGCAACGTGAAGAAGAAATGAAACTCTTCCCTAATTTCTTCCTCTTTTTGTTTCAAAATGTTACCTGTATCATTCTATTTTCTCGATTTAGATTTTCTTTTCTCCCATTGCCATTGTTAGTCGATATCAGGAAAAAAATCTATGCTTAAATGATATTGTTATTAATCTTCTTGTTTTACAGATGTGCAGTTATTTATGCCGAATCCATCTAGTAACCATCATCAAGACACTAATTATGCATCTTCTTCTTTTAATTGAAAAAATGCAAGTAATGGTTATCGAAATTCTATATTAGAGAGATATAGTAAATTTTGAAACATAACCGTAGAAGAGCAAGCGATACTAGAAGATGGTTAATCAAAGTGATTTCCTTTCGTTTTTTTTTTTTCTTTTAATTTATTTGAAGTTGTTTTTTTTCTTTGATTCCATAATTGTAATTTTTGGGGTTTTCTTTTGGGTCATTAATTAGACATTTTTATTACTTTTATTGGATAGAGTCTTCTACGAGAAATATATTCAAAATTTTGTTAGAAATCTTAGGGTTTACCGAATAATTCTTTGTATTTTATGAATTTCAATTTATAGATGAGTAGAGAACTTGAAATATTGAGATATATATATATATATATATTAATTGCAAGACTTTCACATGTAGCCAAAATGGATTAAATTGAATTATTTTGTGTGAATTGAAAAGTTGAAATTGGCTGAAAAGTTGAATATAAGCTTTTTGCCCTTCGTATACAAGTTTAGAGCATAAATTGGCCTTTTATTCCGAAGAGAAATATAAGAAATTAGAAGATTGGAAAACCAAGAGATTAAATATGTCTTGAACACATTAGAAAATTCAATTTGTTTGGATAGATTCACATGTTAATTATTATGAAGTCATTCCGTATTTACAGGAATTATATGAGTACACGCTAAGAAAGAAATATTTTAAAACATATAATATTTTTAGCCTATACGAAGTCTAAAATACCTTATATTTGTAGGATATTTATAAAATTGAACTCTAGATCCAAGGGATCCCCTAAGACATGTCTTCTTTTCTATATTCTTTAGGCTTTTATAGTTTAGAGCTACTTATTTGGACCTTGATAATAGACCCGCCTCAACAAATAAATAAAATAATATATTTTAATTTTCAGTGAAAAATATCTATTAAATGAATTTCATTATAAAAAACTTTATTAATTAGAACATTTAATCTATTTAATTATAAATTCTTTTACTGTTTAATTACCAAAAAAAAAAAAATTAAAAATTGACGCACCTAGCTAATTTACAGCCGACCTGATTGACTGTTGACTATTGAGTATTGACACTTGAATATGGAGGGCCGGCAGAATTTAAATATGATTTTCTCTCACAGCCAATTTTTGGAATCATTCATTCCCCCGACCCACTACTCCTATTAGCTAAAAAACAAAATGCCTAAGTCTAAAAACAGTGAAAATTGCATTCATCAACGGTGTAAGATTATTATTAAAAATTATAAATTCAATATCAACACTCAATAATGTTAATATCGGCCTATTGAGATATTATTCAAATCAAATCCGCTTTTACAGATTTTAAATTGGTTTTTTTTTGGGTCAAACCTTTTAGACAATATTTATAATAATATATATAAATTTCCCATTTAAAATTTGAATTCAAAACTTTTGAAATTTATAAATCGGATATTAAAAGAAAAAAAAAAAACGGAAGAAAGGATAGATGGTGCACATAATTCAGTCTCCAAGCTTATAGTATTCATCCTAAGATAGAAATGTTAGGATTTAAACTTTAGCACACGCATTATATTAATTTTAATATAATTTAGTTTCGATTAGAGTGTAGCAATTTAATAAAATTTTAAGTGTGATTTAATCAAATGTGATGTATTTTAGTTTTAATTTTAATTTAATTTAGTATGTGTACTTTCATATATATATATATATTAATTTTAATTTTAATATAGTAAATGTGTACTATTCATAGTAATATAGTATATATATATTTATATATATATTTAAATATTAATATATATATATATATATATATTAATATTATTTAATTTCAATTAGGGTGTTGTAATTTAATAAAACTTCAAGTGTGATTTAGTGAAATTTGATTTAATTTAATTTAATTTCAATTATGATATCTCAATTGAATAAAATTGCAAATGTAATTTAATCAAGTTTAATTTCAAGTGTAACTTAATCAATTATTACTTAATTTAATTTTAATTCAGGTATATTAATTTAATTGAATTTCAAATGTGACCAAACGTGACTTAATCAAGATGATTTATTATTTAAATAGAATTTGAAATCAAGCGTGACTTAATCAATTGTTATTTAATTTAATTCATAATGTGATTTAATCAAGGATGAATTTAAGTCAATTAGAATATCTTGGATTTAATTGCAGTGTTCCGATTGATCTAGAATCGGACTGTGGCCGGGCACCTTCACCTGAAGGGACTCGATGAGTTGTTCGGCCTGATGCCGGCGGTGAGACTTACCGTCCACCCTTTTAATTTTTCTCTTCATATTCGCCTGAACGAGGCAAGGAGCAGTTTAGTGTCATTGAAAACGTACCTGCTCTGCTAAAAACCAGTGATAATGGCGTGAATATCAAGGCCATCCCATCTCTCTAGAAGATGAGTGCAATTGGATATTTTCATTGTTTGGTTCCTCTTTTTTTTTTAGTTTTTTATATTTATTTTTAATGAAAAAAAATGGAGACTTTAATGAAAAAGAGAAATTTATTTAAAGATATTGAATCCTTGTTTTTCGTATAAATAATAATTACTTTGTGCTATGAAGTATTTAAACAATGAAAGATATCTTAGGGGTATAATAAACCGCAGTTGTTTATGTTTTATTTTTATATTTTTCAAAATAAATTACAATTTTATTTTATTATTATTAATTAGTTAAAATTTTGTTTAGAAATTGAACTTTATATTTATATATGTTGACTTTATATAAGTTGAAGGATATATTATGTATAATTTTTTATCCTTTTTTGTAAAAATTATTTCATATTTACAAATCTTATATTTTAATTGTATTGAAAAAATATATTTTAAAAATATTAAAATAAAATTCGGTTGAACCGTATTGAATCCGGTCGAACCTTCTAGTTTAATAAACCACTGCCTTCACCAGTTGAATGATTGGTCCGGTTCTCAGAACATTACTTGAAACTAAGTATAGCTTAATCAATTATTACTAGTTAATTCTACTTTAGGTATCTTAACTAATTTCATTCCAAATATAAGTTAAATGGATCTAATCAAAGTTGACTTAATTAAATTTAAGTTTGAAGTGTTTTAATTTGATTCAATCTCAAGTTTGAATAGGTATAATTTATTTTAATGACACTTAGTGTGTCACAATTTATTAAAATTTCAAGTGTAACTTAATTCAGTTCCAATTACAATGTTTTAATTTCAATTATGATATCTCAATTGAATAAAATTTTAAGTATAATTTATCAAATGCAATTTAATTAGATCATTTTAGTTTATTTAATTTAATTTCAAATGTGACCAAGTGTGATTTGAACACGCTACAACCACAATCATAATACCTTAATTTAATTTTAAATGTGCCTAACTCTAAGTTAATCGAGTAAAATTTAACTTAATTTTAATTAAGGCATTTTAATTTAAATCAATTTTTATTTCAAATATCATCGAATGTGATTTAATGTTTAATATTTACTATTCTAAATCCTCCATGTAAACATGAAGAGAATACATATTTTTATTTTGCAGCTCACATCATTCTTCCCACCTTAGCATAAAATTACCAATAGACTATTTTTTATTCTTTCAGGGGACTATATTTTTTAATCGTTCCCTGGACTATATAGTTCAAGTATATATAGAATGAAAATGATTTTCAAAGAGAATTAATGATAATATTTGCATGTTTGACATTTTTCCTATTGTATTTAATATAATCTAAACCTATACATTTTACAGTGACATTTTAATTGGAATTCTCCAAACTATATGAGTAAATATACATATTTTAAACTTAATTTTCAATTTTCAACACATAATATTTGACAAAAATAATATTAATATAGAAATTCTAAAATCACTAATGATTCGAATCAAAATCATCTATAATATGATTCATTATGAATTAAAAATCTTTTCCGTCACATATATGCCTCCACGCTCTACGAGTGTTCCAAGAGTGGCCGCTCTTTTTTACCGGTAGATAAAGTTTGTATGGAGGATTTTCACTTTGGTCGGTCGATTGGTTATAAATAATTGTCTATTTGTACTCGTTGAATGGGTGATTTCTAGGAACCTTGTTCTGTACAAACTACAAAGTAAACAAATTATGAATATTGATTCCTCACCTAAAAGTTCGGAGTCGTGTCTATCTTTGACTTGGTCCATTTGTGCTTGCTGGCACATGAAGATGCTCGTCACGCTTACTTGAATATTTCCTAATTAATTACTGTATTGTCTAAAAAATATAGTTTATTTTCATATATATTAAAAAATATGATTAAATAATAATTTTATTTATATAATTTTTTTATTATGTCGTCTTAAATAATATATGAGTTGAAATGATAATTAATAATTAATGGAGATAACTGAAAATAATATAATTTAATAAAAATATAATAGATAATTTAAGAATTAAGTACAATAAAAAAAAGTGCAGCATTATATTTTATGACAAAAAAAAAAAAAAAAAATTTATGAACAAAAAAAAAAAAAAAAAAGATGACATATTTTTTTGGACAGAGGTGTTTAATGAAAAAAAAAAAAAAAAAGATGACATATTTTTTTGGACAGAGGTAGTTTAATGTTATTTCTGTCTATATGTGGATTCTAAACAAACAAATTAAGAACATAGAAAGTCAGAAGACCCGATTAGCAATGGAGTCTCTCTTTCCAACTCTTCTTGTTTCCTTAATCATTCTTTCGTTATCAACCCTTTTCTTCCTTTTCGGCAGCCGTAAAAACCACCGGTTTCCTCCAGGACCTCCAGGATGGCCAATTCTTGGCAACCTCTTAGATCTTGGTACTATGCCACACCGTACTTTAACCAAGTTAAGAGAAAAATACGGGGGCGTCATTGGTTTAAGGCTAGGCAGCGTGAACACTATGGTTATCCTCTCGGCCAAGCCAGCTTCCGAGTTATTCAAATACCATGATCTTTCATTCGCAGAACGCAACATAACCGAAACCATGCGTTCTCATGGCTATAATGAAGGTTCTTTAGCCATAGCCCCTTATGGTTCCTATTGGCGTGTATTGAGACGGCTAGTTACAGTAGATATGCTTGTAAACAAGCGTATCAATGAAACTGCCTCTATAAGAAGAAAATGTGTTGATGATATGTTGCGTTGGATAAAAGAGGAGACTTATGAGGCTAATGATCATGGTATTCATTTAGCACGATTTGTCTTTCTGATGACATTTAATTCATTAGGAAATCTCATGTTCTCGAAAGATTTGGTCGATCCAGAATCGAAAGAGGGCTCAGAATTTTTCACAGCAATGATGGGACTAATGGAGACTTCTGGGTATGCAAATGTTGCAGATTATTTTCCATGGCTTAGGTGGTTAGATCCTCAGGGGTTGAAGAGAAGGATGGATAAGGAGCTTGGTAAAGCTTTGGAGATTGCTTCTAAATTTGTTAAGGAAAGAATTGAAGAGAAGAAGGTTGTTGGAGATAGAAGGAAGGATTTTCTTGATGTGTTGCTTGAGTTTGAAGGAAATGGGAAAGATGAACCAGCTAAAATATCAGATCGCGATACCAATATTTTTATCCTGGTATGTGATTTCCAATTGGCTATAATTAATTCTAGCACAAAATTTATTTTTTTATTTATTTTTGAATATTTGGGAAAGGAAATTCGAATTTGGACCAATTATAATATTGTATATGCACTTAACACTAGGTTATATATCTCGGTATACAACACAAAATTTATTTATTTTTCTCTAATACCAAATTAATTGTTCATTAATAAATAAAAATATTCATTTCCCGTTATTTGGTAGCACTTATTTTAAGATTAATTATTAATTTTATGTTAATAATTATTTTTAATTAAAACAAGTACGTTGACCTGTTCATTGGCTGAAAACGGATAACATATTCAAGTCGAAACAACAAGTTCGATAGATCCAATAATCAAGTTTAAATAAATTTTATATTACGGACAAATTCAATTTTAGAAAAAAAAAATTGAGTATTATTCTCTGTAACTATTTAATTGTATTTTCCTTTTGGACAGAGCTTCTAATATATATAATTGCAAAAATGTGGTGCAGGAAATCTTTATGGCCGGTTCAGAAACCACCAGCAGCACCATTGAATGGGCAATGACTGAGCTTCTCTGCAACCCTGAGTCAATGACAAAGGCCAAAGCTGAGCTTGCCTCAGTAATAGGACCAAACAGAAAGGTTGAAGAGACTGACATAGACAACCTTCCATTCTTACAGGCTATCGTCAAAGAAACTTTACGATTACACCCTCCTATTCCATTTCTGGTTCCGCGAAGAGCAATGCACAATACTAAATTTATGGGTTACGAAATTCCAGTAAATACACAAGTTCTTGTAAATGCTTGGGCTATAGGAAGAGACCCAAATGTGTGGGACGAGCCATTGTGTTTTAAGCCTGAAAGATTTATAGGGTCAAATGTTGATTATAAAGGTCAAAATTATGAGTTCATCCCTTTTGGAGCTGGAAGAAGAATGTGTGCAGGAGTAACTTTAGGGCACAGAGTCCTCCACCTTATCTTGGGGTCTTTGCTTCACCATTTTGATTGGGAACTTGAAGCCAATGTGAATCCTGAGAAAGTGGATATGAGAGACAGGTTGGGTATTACCATGCGCAAGTTGGAGCCACTAATAGCGGTTCCTAAAACAGTGAGATTTGAAGATTAATTAGTTGAAATGAATTTTTTTATTAGCGGTTTTTAATTTATTAGCAATTAGATAATGATTTATAGGTGGTTTTAGTATAGTAAATAATTTCTTTATCACGCGCACGTTGTAGTGGATAAGTATTTATACAGTTAAATAAAAAGATTGTGCATGAATTTAGATTAAATTAATTAGCAATTATAAAGAAAAAATACAAGTAATAATAAGGCATATTGCATTAGCTAGAATAAGAAAAATTGAAGGAAATTATTATAACTTAAATTTAATGTTCAATAATAAGTTATATTAAGATATTTGTAGCTTATATTTTTCTATTTAAAAATTTGATGATCCTTGTTATGATTGTTGTGCCAACATACAAAATTTATTATTATTACTTTTATTGATATTTGAAGATGAATGATTTGAAAAATAATTCTATATTTATTACAACTAATAGTGTATTATTTATTTGGTATAATTATTTATAACTATATATTTTTATTTTTTTACAAATAATTATACAAATAAAAATGATAAATTTCATAAATAAGTAAAAACTATTATTTATAATTTGATTTGAAAAAATAAATTTAACTCAAAAATCTTATTAAACCATTTTATTTTTACATTTTCGATTGTTGATTGAGTTGTAAGGTTTATCATATTCGATCATATGGTTATCTTAAAATTTTAAAATAATATTATAATTGTTAAAAAAGACAAGTTAATTTTGATATTTAGTTCAAATATGTGGTTCTTAATTTTTTTTTATTTTGCATTTGATTTAAAATTTTTAAGGGTGTCCAATGCAAAACCATGATTAATTTATGGCATGTTTGGTTCAACAATCATATCATTTGATATCTGAAAACGGTTGCTAATAGTTTATATCTGATGGTTGATAACGGTTAGCTTGTTACTATTCGTGTTTGTTAAAATTTTGACAGTAGTTGCTGTTAAAATACAAAATGATTATTAAGGATATAATTCTTTTCATATAGTATGATGTATAGCATATATATATATAACTTTTCTAATTTAAGGAGAATATATTATTTTTTATTTTTATATAACTATAGATAAAATGATCGCAAAAAAAATATTAATTTGAAAAAATTAATTTTATTAGCAATTTATTTTTATAAGGTTAATGAAGTCCAACTGAATAAGATAAATATAAATTAGCTAATAGCTGATACAAAAAAGCTATAAAATGTAGCTGATGGATTAACAGCTAATTGAGATTTCTATGAGCTATTGATTAAAGGCTTACCAAACACCGGAAACGTAGTTAAATACAAAACAGCTATTACTTGTATATATCATCCGAACCAAACGTCCCTTAAAGAGATTAACATTTGAACATGTTCCTTGAATAACCTTTACATTAGATAGCCAAAGGTGAGGTGTTTTATAATCTATAATCTACATACATGTGGGACTAGAGGAAAAAATTATGAGATTTTCTAAAGTAGCTTTAGTTTAATTTGGAATTCCTAATATATCATTTTACTTGGAGAAAATAAGAAGATCCTTTTTAGTTCTATTTTTAATGCATTTTAATCGAAAAAATAGATTCTATTCATACTTTTGAATATCCTTGTAAGCGTAAAATTTGTTCCTGAAATTAAGAAACAAAAATATAAAAATACAAATCGTATTTATAGATTAAGTGGATACAATCTCTAGTGTAAAATCTCATATTACAAACAAGATTATCCTCCGATTCTTCTCTTTATTGTCACAGACACGATTCAATAGTCGAAACGACTTAATCTTGAATATGATTTAACAGTTGAAGGGACTTAATGTTGAATTGATGTAGAACAAACTTTGGACGATTCAAGGGTCGAAGAGACTTGATTTTGACTTGGAGTTGAAAGAGCTTTGATTCTTTGGACTTGAGAGAGAGCTTTGTAATTTTGAGTTTGAATTGGAGATAAGAGTTAACATATATTGATAAAGTTTGTTTAGGTTGTTATGGATAGATAATTTCTGTTGTAACTTATTTTGTAACCATATACTATTTAGTATAGGACTCTTCTTGTATTTAAACAACATACTAATGACAATACGATCATCTCTTCTTTTCTATAGTCTTCCGTATATGGTATCAGAGCACAAAGCTTAAAAGGCTTTTTCCGATCCAATCTCTGATTTTCTTTCAATCTCCTTCCTCTTTACTTTGATATGGCTTCAGGTAGCGGCATTGTTGTTCATTCTCAGGTAGCGGCACTGTTGTTCATTCTTCTGGGCATTCTCTTGTAACAATTAATGGTGCACAGCTGCCTCTAAAACTCACTGCTACGAATTATCCAACTTGGAGGGCTCAAATTGTACCACTGTTGAAAGGACATAGCTTGATGAAATATGTCCTAGGTATGGTACCTGTACCTTCTGCTACTGTTGCTGATAAGGGAGGTGTACAGATTTCAAATCCAGATTATGAATTTTGGGACTGTCAAGATCAATTGATTCTTGCTGCTATTCGAGCCTCCCTTTCTTTTTCGATCATGAATGATATTGCAGATGTTGATACGTCCGCTGATGCATGGAGAAAGCTACAAATGTCCTATGCCAATAAGTCTGCCACCAGAGTTTTATCTCTGCGAGAGAAACTTGCTAGAATGAAGAGAGAATCTCGTTCTGTTTCTGAATATTCAACAACGATTAAGAGTATTGCAGAAGAGCTGTCGTTGCGCAGGAGTCCAATGAATGATGTAGATCTTGTTGTTCAGGTTCTTGGTGGTGTTGGATCTGAATTCGGTGCAATCGCAGTGGCAATTCATGCTAGAGACACAATCGTTAGTTTTGAAGAACTACAAGATAAGTTATTAGCTTATGAGATGTATTTGAAGCAGGTTACTTCAAATTATGATGTTCTTCCTGTTACTACTAATAATATTCGCAAGACTGCTGCTGGAAGGGGATCTAATTCACAGGGCAATTTTTATCGTTAGTCTGGTGGAAATTCCTCTGGTGAACGTGTTTTAGATGTTAAGACGCAGTCTCAGTTCTCTGGATCTCGTTCTACTGTTCAATGTCAGTTTTGCGATCGGTTTGGGCATGTTGTTAAAGACTGTTTTAAAGCCAAACGATACTTTGCAAATATTGCTAGAAAAGCTCTTTGCAAAATATTGCTAGAAAGTCAAGCTAATGCTACAAGTGTGCAGTCGCATCCAGTAGAAATTCTCAGCCATGGTTGCCTTGATTCTGCAGCATCGCATCATGTCACTAATGACTTGAATAACTTTAATCTCTTCATTCGACAATATGATGGACCAGATGAGCTACAGTAACTGATGGGTCAACGGGGTCAGGTTTGTCCATAACTCGAACTGGTTCTGGTATTGTGTCCTTACCATCGAAAAAGTGTCTTCTTCAAAATGTCTTATATGTGCCCAAAGCAAAATCTAATTTTATTTCTGTTCCTCAGTTTTATGATTCTAACCAAGTTTCCATTGAATTTTTCTCTCATTTTTATTTTATTAAGGATCAGTTCACGGGGGAGATCCTGTACAAAGGCAACCTTGATCAGTCTTTTTATAAGCTTCGCAGTATGGGTTCTTTTGAAAGTCATCATGTTCGGTTATCTTCTGTGTCATGGCATCAACGACTTGGACATCCAAGTTCGAAAATCCTTCATTCTGTTTTGTCTAAACTTAATCTAAACTTAATATTCCTGTGACTGTTATTAAGGATAGTGTCTGTGATCCTTGTCGTTGTAATAAAAGTCATAGGTTACCTTTTGGAGTATCTTCTTTGGTTAGTAGCAAACCATTAAAACTTGTTTATACTGATTTATGGGGACCTGCACCAGAAATTTCTTTGGATGAATTTCAATATTATATTATTTTTGTTTATCACTTCACAAAATATATTTGGCTATATCCATTAAGAACAAAATCTCAGGTTATCGAAATTTTTCCAATCTTTCAAAAGCTTGTAGAAAACACCTTTAACTCCAAAATTCAAACTATATATTCTGATGGGGGGGAGAGTATGTTGCTCTTAAAAAATTTAAAAAAATATTTTCAACAATAGGAGAATCAATTCACTTGCAAATCTCCTCACACACCTCAAACATAATGGTGCCGGCTGAACGTTCGGTCTCGCCAATTTTAGTTGACACAGGGCTTTACTTTGTTTACAAACCAGCCTCTTTACCATGAGTTTTTGGGAGTTTTGCTTTTCGACTACAGACTTACTTTAATAATCGGTTACCTACTATCTTCTCTAAACTAAGTCTCTCCTATGAAAAATTGGTTGGTCAATCCTAATTATATCCTCTTTACGAGTAATTTGGATGTCTTTGTTATCCATGTCTCAGACCATACAATGAAAAATAAGTTTGAATAATCGGAATCCTCCTTGTGTATTTTTGGATATTCACAAAAACAAAAGTGCTTATCTTTGTTTATCATTATTGAATTCTGGGAAAATTTTTGGTCTCGACATGCTGAGTTTGTTGAAAATAAGTTTCGCTTTTTTTGAAAAACATTCGAAAAATTCGGCTACAGATTTGTCTGAGACTAGTTGGTATGATTTTTCTACTGAACCAGTTACTTCTATTGTTCCTTAATCAAGACCACATTTGAAATTGACTTTACAATTGGACTGCTGTACATATTTAATTTTACATATTAAGCCCACAATAGAAAATTAAATCCAACAGTGTCGACATACATTAATTTCCAACACCTGTTAATCTTCATCGTATGGTCACACGTTCCAAAAATAATATTTTCAAGCCGAAAGTTTTAAATTCAGTTACCAAGCATCCTTTCCCTTCATTACCAGAACCTAGTTCAGTTAAACAAGTCTTAGCTATTCCCGATTAGCGACAGGCAATGACATCAAAGTTTAATGCATTACTTGATAATAATACTTGGGTGCTTGTTCCATATGATTTTGCTTATAATCTGGTCAATTGTAAATGGATTTTCAGGGTGAAGAAAAATGCTGATGGATCTTTGCAGAGATACAAAGCAAGACTAGTTGCTCGGGGTTATAGTCAGCGACCTAGTGTTGATTACAGTG